ACACACACACACACACACACACACACACACACACACACACACACACAGCGTGCACCCCCATGATGACTCGTCCCATGATTTAAGTGACATTTTCTGCTGATTGATGAGTCGGCATGCTGGAGGTTCATTTGCCTCGTTCCTCTGAAACCACAGAGCACAAAAACATGTTGCCCTGCCAAACCCGCAGGACCGGGCCAGAAACACCCTGCGTAGGTGAGGCGGGGAGGGGGAACTTGGCTCCAGGGGGTGGTGGGGGAGGGGTGGAAGTTAGAGGAAGGTGTGGCCTGGCTTCAGGGCACTTTTCTGTTAAATGATTACGGAGCTGTTCCACTGGCTCAGCTCATCAGGGCTGCAGGGTGGAGGGTTGGTGGGGTGGGAGGTGGGCTGCTTGTACATCATCATCATCATCATCATACTGTAGGACTGAAATTACAGAGGCTCTGAGGCAGGCTCATCAAGAGCTCCTTCAGGGGTACTGAGTAAGAAGGGCTAATTGTTTGATACAAATATAAACTTGCATGGCTCATCTTTAATATTATTGCTAATAATAAATTTACATATATCTGAATATGACTGCCTGCTCACATCTTTATGTTAAAGACTCCTCACAATAATTATCAATAATGGATCATTATTGACTGTGATGTACTTGCGACCTGTCCAGGGTGTACCCCGCCCCTTGCACTGTGATTGCTGGACATGGGCACCGGCGACCCCCGTGACCCAAAATGGAAGAAGCGGGTAAAAGATAATGGATGGATCATTATTGATAATTAATGACTGCTTTGTGAAGACTGCTGTTTGCTCAAAGTTGTCATTTAACTCCTGGGATTCTTCTGTCCATCCTGCAGGTATTTATCCAGGCAGGTATCCATCCATCCATCCATTTTCTTCCGCTTATCTGGGGTCGGTTCGCAAGGGTAGCAGCTTAAGTAGGGAGGCCCAGACTTCCCTCTTCCCAGCCACTTGAGCCAGCTCCTCCGAGGGAATCCCAAGGCGTTCCCAGGCCAGCCGAGAAGCTTAGTCCCTCCAGCGTGTCCTGGATCTTCCTCTGGGTCTCCTCCCGGTGGGACTTGTCCGTAACACCTCACCAGGGAGGTGTCCAGGAGGTATCCTAACCAGATGCCAGAGCCACCTCAACTGGCTCCTCTCGACATGGAGAAGCAGCGGCTCTACTCTGAGTCCCTCCCAGATGATCGAGCTTCTCACCCTTTCTCTAAGAGAGAGCCCAGACACCCTGTGGAAAAAACTCATTTCGGCCGCTTGTATCTGAGATCTCGTTCTGTCGGTCACAACCCAAAGCTCATGACCAGAGATGAGGGTAGGAACGTAGATCGATTGTTAAATTGAGAGCTTAGCCTTTTGACTCAGCTCTCTCTTCACCACGACAGACCTGTACAGCACCTGCTTCACTGCAGATGCTGTACCTATCCGCCTATCAATCTCACGCTCCATTTTTCCCTCATTCGTGAACAAGACCCCAAGATACTTGAACTCCTCCACTTGGGGCAGGACCTCCTCCCTGACCCGGAGAGGGCACTCTACCTTTTTCCGACTCAAGACCATGGCCTCGGATTTGGAGGAACTGATCTTCATCCCGGCTGTGTCGCACTCGGCTGCGAACCGCTCCAGCGAAAGTGTAGCTCACGATCTGATGAAGCCAATAGGACCACATCATCTGCAAAAAGCAGAGACGCGATCCTAAGGCCACCAAAACGGATCCCCTCAACACCTTGGCTGCGCCTAGAAATTCTGTCCAGAAAAGTTATGAACAGAATCGGTGACAAAGGGCAACCTTGGTTCAACTCTCACTGGGAACGAGCCCGACTTACTGCCGGCGATGCGGACCAGGCTCTGACACCGGTCATACAGGGACCTAACAGCTCATATCAAAGGGCCTGGTACCCCATACTCCCAGAGTACCCCCAACAGGGTTCCCCGAGGGACGCGGTCGAACGCCTAGGCAGGTAGTTAGCATTAAAGCTAATGTGATGGCTGAAGTGTCATTCCACGTTGCTTTGCTGTCACTGCTATCACCCCATAAATACCACATGCACATTGTAAAAAACCTTTTTCCTCCCAACCTTTGTGAAAATGTGTTTTCTTACATTTCTCTGCCATTTTTTTTGCCACAGATGCTGTATAGGGCGGCTGTGGCTGAGTATTTAGAGCATTTGTCCTTCAATGAGAGAGTTGGTGGTTTGATTCCACCAGCAGTCACATGCTGAAGTGTCCCTGGGCAAGACACTGAACCCCTCGTTGCCTCTGATGTGTTTCCCATCGGTGTATGAATGTGATAAAGCTCTGATTAATCTTTGTAGAGATCTAGTAGAGTGCTGTATGAATGTGTGTGGAGGTAAATGAGGTACAGATTGTTGTAAAGAGCTTTATCTTGATTAGATAGAAAGGTGACATATAAGTACAGTCCATTTACCATTTTCCCCTCTACTCGCGAAGGTTAATGGACTGTACTTATGTAGCGCCTTTCTATCTTAAAAAAAAAGAAACCTTTCAGATGACCTGACTGAACATTATTTGATAAAATACAATTTTTTAGATGGTGCTAGCTGATTTAAAACACTATTTTTAGTGCATAACCCCGCGGGTGACAGACATGGTCCGTGCGGGCAACTGGGTGCCCATGGACATCATGTTGGTGACCCCTGCTCTAAGGGCAGCTCTTGGAAAAAAATTGTAAATAGGTTTCAGGCGCTCACAAAACAACATTCTGGTGCTCATGCAACAATATCTTGTTAACCATAAATGTGTCTCATATTCCATTTGAAATGTTTTGATTTAAATCCTCCTCAATTCTTTTCCCTTGAACTGGACACCTGGATTGATATTCTGTAGATGAAGAGTTTTCTCTTCCCATTTGACTTTTCTCACTTTGGAACTGAAGAATGTGGAGCTCCAAGCTTTTAATTGTATGAGACGCTCAGTTTACACAGCTAAACTCACATGCAGAACAATTTCCCTCCCCTCCCTCCTTAGGGTCATTGGGCTCCATGTTCTCTGGCTCACAGAGAGAAGTTTTAACACATGCATGAATCAAAATCAAACTGACTTGGAATCAGATCTAATGCTGCATCGTAAGTTTGATGAAGCTGAAATCTGAGACCTCCTCCTCTGTTTAAAGTTGTTTCTTCTTGTTTCCTCTCAAACCATTTGCCTTCTCTGTCCCAAACATGGACATGTTGGTCCTCAGCAGAGTGTCCCTCATCCTTGAGGTGTAGGTGGACATCTGGGTCTGGTCCTGAAGAGCTGCTCTCCTGTGTTGATCCATGTGTCTGTAGAGAAGTTGTTGAGTTCCTCCAGTAAAGAACATTCCTCACTGTCCTGCAGACACACAGCTCAACTTGGGTTTGGAGGTTCTGTTATTGGTGGGGGTATCTTATGCTAGTGCCTTTTCAAGCTGAGTACAAGTACAACTACTTCAGTATGAGTACTTGGTAATAATAAGTATTTAGTGGTATTTAAACATTACACATTGACTTTAGCTGTGTTAACAGCATCTGTGTTTTGTCTGAAAATGTCTTCACTTTATTTTTGTCCTGGGTAACTCGCCACGTGGAAGAGGAAATAACTTAACCAAGCAGAAAGTAGCATTGGTCCTAAGTACTGTAGTGTTTTTATGTATACAAATATGAGTATTTGTGGCTGGTATCAGACACCACAAGTTTTGGGGATGGGCCATCTGTTTTCTAAAAGTCCTGTTAGGCTTGAAATGCACCAGGGTGCTGTGTTTGGAGAAAATCTTTCTGAGGGTGCAGACGTGGTCCAGGGTGAAACTGGTCCAGATGTTTAGGTCTTTATCTTGCTCAAGTTGTTTTCTGAGCATGATGATGATCTAATCACAGAAAACTGAGCTTCACACGTCTGAACTGGCATTTTGATTTCTTTTCAGTTTTTACACAATCTCACTTTGTTTAATGAATAACTGCAAATGCTCATGCTGAGATGTTTCATCTATCAGTTTTAGCGCACGTCCAAAACAAACACTGTGAAACAGATAAAGAGTGAGGAAGTGATTTTTTATTTTATTTTTTGTCTTCTGGTGAAATTGATGAAATATTTGCTGTTTATGTGACAAGATTTTGAGAATTAATCTAAAACATATTTCATTAATTCTCATCAATATAAATAACATTTTAAAGTCTTTTCGTGTGGAGACTTTGACTCTGTTGGATGGTCCTCGTGAGGAGAGGAGCAGTGAGGAGGAGTCCTGACAGGAACTCCAGTCATCCTCAGCCCACATGGTGTTTCCTCTCCTGTGACTCTCAATCACTGCCTGCTAAATTTAACCGTGCTGCTGTGACGACCCACTCTGAGTGACGCCATCACTGCCAGGAGCTCTGCTCAAACATCAGCCTGCTGATCAGACGTCAGCTGAATATCTGGACCCACCACCACAAACAAAACTTCTGATAGCATTAAAGAGCTGGGGGATTCAAGTGGGTGACACCAGAATACTTCTGACCAGTGTCAGAAACTATAAAAAGACCAGTCTGGGCTCACAGTCTCAGAGGACAAGTCCAAATCTAGTCTTCAGAGACTGAGGACAAGACATCGTTGTCCAGTCACAGTTTTATGACAGAGGCAAAGTCCAGTTCTGCACTTGGACTAGATGAAACAGTGGACAGTCTTTACAGGGTCAACCCAAGTTCCAAGTCCGAGTCTAATTCTGGTATTATTAAAAAAATAAAAATAAAAGTCCAGCCCCAGATCCTTAAGTTTTCACATCTGGTTTGGACATGAATCCAGTCTTTAGCATCTGAGTTCAGGACAAGTTCTGAGCGGAACAGTAACTCCAACATGAATCTCAGGACGAGTCCGTTCATACTGAAAACAGTAAAACTGAATCTGACAATGGGGTGTAGTTTATTTAAAAAAAAAACAAAAAAAAAAACTCAGATTTCTTTCAGATCGCTCCAGAAGTCACACCCAAAAAATCCCATTTATGTCCATTGTGTCTAAACTGATGGCAAACCATCGGTGACTCATGAAAGGACCGTGGGTCCTGTCCCAGGCTATGTTTAGTCTGAGTGGGAAACTGCTGAAAGGTACTGAGGTCATCTTTGAAGCGTGGAAGGAGCATTTCAAAGATCTTAATCCTCTCAGCATGTCCATCTTTGAGGAGGTGAGGAGGCAAAGTCTGAAGACTCAGGGGAAAACAAGTGTATTACCATGGCAGTCACCAGGTAGCCAACAAGCTCCTCAGTGGCGGAGCGTCAGTGGCGGACAAGATTTTCCCTGAGATGCTGAAGGCTCTGGATGCTGTGGGACTGTCATGGCTGACACATCTCCAATGTCACATGGAGGGTTGTTAAAAATGGTTCTCTGTTCTTCAGTTCTGCTTCTGCCCCGCCCACTCTCACCTGTTCCCAGTAATTCTTGCCCAAGTGTTTGTCATTTAGGTAATCAGTCTAGCCCTTTATATTTCCTTTCCCTCTGTGACACCCTCAGTGGAACATTAGCTTTTTAGTGTCATTGTGGTCCTCACTGTGTCCCCTGCCTCCACAGCACTTTTGTTTTATAATAAATCACGTTTTACCAATTTGCCTGAGTCCAGCATGCATCCTTGGTTTGAGCCTCCGACTGTGACAGATTGCTCCATTCTAAAAAAAATAAAAATAAAAAAAAATAATGCAATTTAGATGTTTGGCACAGGAAAACAATAAGACGGCTCAAAGACAGAAGGAGAAAGAGTCAAGTTGGTCACTGTACTAGGGCATCTATCACCATTCTCCCAATCGTGGGACTTTGGTTGGGTTGATAGCTTTCCTTCTCCCATTTATTTGCTGGTGCCCCGCCATGCTCCAGCATCTCGCCATGCTCCAGCATCCCGCCATGCTCAGCATCCCACCATGCTCCAGCATCTCGCCATGCTCCAGCATCCCGCCATGCTCCAGCATCCCACCATGCTCCAGCATCTCGCGATGCTCCAACATC